TTGAAACCTCATCAACTCTTATAGAGTTTATAGAGATGATAAACTCATTTGATAGCCCATCATTCAAAGGGTTAATCATACATTGGAGGAATGAAGAACAATGGACAACATTTAGAGAATCACAAGTGACTGTGCAGATATGAATGGCTTGTTGTCTCTGAAACACATTGCCTATGACCTGTATAGATATGTGCATAGTTTACAATGCATGGATGTGTCTGGAAGTTGCACAGCACAGCTATTGGTGGGGAAAAATGGTAATAACATGCATGTTTTGATGTCTCAGCACTGAATGACCATATAGGGAATCTTCTCCACTTGTAAATATGCTCAGGGATGCTCCACATATATCCTGGAATATTGTCTGATTAATCCGCATTTTCTTGACCCCAAAACAAGTGAATTGTGCTGCAGTAACAGTGTGCACTTACATCGCTTACTAAGCGCTCGACTAAGCGCCCGTTGCCGAAGCGGAGTCGTCAACAGGCCGGAATTCAGGCCTGTTGACGACTCCGGTCACTCAAAAGGGATTTTGGAGCACTCCCATTGGCTAAAATGCTGACAAATGTTCCCTTTCAAAGTAATCTTTCAGTCTCAGCTTGTCATGCCGAGTTTTTTGATGGCTTCAAGCCACACTAACTGAGCTCTTACTAGAACCCCATTAAATGCAGAGAAATCCCAAAATATTGCTTCTCCATGGAATGCCCCTTGAGTACTGACACAGTGACAAGGGTGCCCAGATTAGGTGTTCTTGTTGTTTTTCACAGAGTACTGACCTTGGCAAGTGATACTGAGGATATAAGCAAATGTTAGTGTGTGTATGATGCTTGTACAAGACAGTTCCACATGTATGGGCTCTGTGAGGTGGAGGATATCAAACATACAAAACTGCCATATATGGTTAGTCCCCTGCCCATTTGGGAAGTTGGCCATGCATGGCCTCTGCAGGACTGGATAAATAGCAGGAAAATACGAGAAAGATTAGATAGTACTATGGATTTGTATCGGGTTGACTGTTGAGGCCATATGGCAGAAAACATATAACAATGCAGAGTTTCCCATGCATAGCCTGATACAAGCCACTCTTTCAATGAGTCTTGGTCCATCTTGTAAGCACCATTATCACCTGGAATTCTCATGGACTGGCAGCTCCAGACAGGATCCCAGGCTATTCTGTTCAGTTCAACTCTTCAATAGGCCCTGCAAAGGCAGGCTATTGGGCTGACTTTGAATGCAAGCCACAAGCTCATTAGTGACAATGTATTTGCTGTGCTATGGTCTCCCAAAAAATCAAAAACAATTGGGAATATTCCCAGTCATGTATATGATGTCAGAGAGGCTGTACATAGTATGCCTTCCCATGGATTCATATAAACATGGCACCCACCATTCACAAAGCAAAATAAAATACATATTCCTCTGTACACACTGGTTCTTTCACTTTGTTTGTGTTTCCTGTGATGCTTGCCAACTCCCTATGGATTGTGTGGCTATATGAGACCTGAATGAAACATGCCATATGTGGTACCTGACCTTCTCAAAATGGAAAGTCCGAGTTATCTGCTGTGTCTGGGCTCAGAAAATGTGGATAAAACAAGGGAATATTCTGTATGAGTCCACTCACCTTGTACTGCTTGCTATAAGTATTGATTGGCTCATGTCTAAACCCTTTGGCAGGCAATGGCATATGCAGAAAATGGTGAACACCTGTGGCACAAAGGCCACAGTTAATGCTGAGTATGTTCATAATATTGGCTCTGTCTCACATGTGAATGGCATAGCTATCAATATTATGGGTTCACAGAGCTTTATGACACTGTACTGATCCTAGAAAGTGATAGAAAGACATTGTACAAGTTGTGTTGTGCATCTACTACTGTTGCTAGAAAGTCTATAGGCTAGCAATGTCATAAAGTAGGGACACCACACATAGGTGATCAAATGCTTTGATGGTCTCTGCAATGCTAGATAAATGGTACGAAATGAGATAAAATCAGCTGACTGTTGTAGGCCAATGCATGACAGTACATCTCAGATGTGCTGATGCAGAGTTCACAGCCTGATGTCAGCAGCTCTATTGTCCCAGTCCAGTATAAGCATGTCTTTGACTGATTGTATCAATATGAAGCAGTGCCAATTATACAGTATGATGGTGCTATGCTTGATTGTTAATTGCTCATATAATTTTTGCCTGCAGCATATCTAATGTCTGTATGCACTACCATCATCCTATTCTCATGCAATGGCCCTTGGTATGTGAAGATAGAATAGGCAGCTCTTGGCTTGTTCATATGGGCAAAAATGTATTGACAGTGCTGTCTGTTTGTGCAATGTCTACTATCACTCATATTGCAGTGTATGCTGTGATTTCTTCCTGATTGGGCTCAGAAGAAGTCATGGTTGCCATGGAAATAATGCAGACTTGCATTGCTTACTAAGCAACAGTGAAGAGGCCATATTACAATGGATGTCTGAGCCAATATATGGCTGTCCTTTTATGGATCTCTAGTCAATAATATGACTTTGGGAGTACTCTCATTTGCTGCAGCTGTTTCCTTTTACATGTGATGATGAAATATCAGCTACTCATGTTGGGTCCTTTCATGTTATATGGAAAGTGGAAATATAACACTTTAGACCCAGGTGTGAACATGTGTGATATTTGAACAGCATTGGAAATTTGTGGCACTGTGCCTACCAGTACACCATTTGGCAGTTGATCCTGGGTGGTATCTGCCATGCCCAAGGAATGTCAACATGAAAAATATAGTGTGTAATCCAAATATAGTACCATACATTGTATGTGCATACAAAATAACAAACAGTCAGCCAGAAAATGACACTGGTGATTATCTTGGGAGTATGTCTGAAGATATAAATCCTTGGACTTATGATCAGAGAGCATGACCATTGATAGTAGGCATTACTAGAATACCCAGGAAAGGCCCATGTGCAAGTCTTAGTATGCAGTCTGTTGTTAGGGACAAGGCATTGAAAACCCTTTTTCTACAAGAAATTCCATAGATATGGTCTTTGAATAGGGTAGGCAGCAGGAATTGTTATCACTCCTGGGCTTTGTTATCTTTATTGTAGATCCTTTTAATGGACTTCATTTGGGGTTCACAATGCTTTCTGACCAGATTTCAGTGATCTTTTTTTCCCACATTGTTATTCTTTGTGGCACCTCTTGGTGTATGTTCTGACTGGACTATATCCAAGTTTCTAGTGGTCTCCTTAGACCCCTTGTGAAAGATATTACTGGGGTTCTATTAGCTCAGACTATGTTATCTATTGATATATTATCCCAGCTGGCAGGCAATCTATGAGTGACTAGTGTTCATAAGGCTGTGCTAGTGTTTCAGGACAACATGCAAGTGGTGTGTCATGAATCACAGAGCACATCCTTGATGATCAGTGAGAATTATTGGCACATCTACCCTTGCCTTACAATGAGCCTGTGAGCTTATTGTGCATCTTGAATGGCCTTGGAAAGTGGTGTACTGAGTCTTTTACTATTTTGTAGGTTTCTATGAAGTATCTAAAAGGAGTGGGGCGGCGGTGTCGATGTGGCGCGCGTAACTTGCGTGGTTTTCGCGTATGCTCGCGTGGGTTTCGCGTACGCCCACGAGAAACGCACATGGCGTCCACGTTTGCCGCATGGCCCGCTGATCGTCCGCTCTCTCGGTCGTCCGTTAGGGCACTAAAGCGATCCCAGATCCGGTGCCACAGCCTCAACGATCGCGCGATCTGGGCTATCCGATTACTGCAGCTGCACGACTTGCTTTCTCCCCTCATCCCCAACTCTGTCTGTACCTGCATAGGTGAGTATTTGCATTTTCCCTGAGCATTCCTGTAGTAATAACTGCATTTCACAGTGTCTGCCATGAATCAGGACCAAAATCAGTGAGTAAATAGCCAAATAATCGAAATATGGCTAAATCATGTATATTAGAACCTTCTCTCATGCTCCTGAGCCACAGAGACTCAATGAGAGAGAGAATCAGTGAGTGAGTATAGATGCTGAATTGACTATGGCTAAACAATGCAATTCAGCAATTCCCACATGCCTGAGCAGCAGAGAGAGAACCTGTGAGTTAAAGAAGAAATTATATATTGTAGATGGCTAACAATGCACAGAAATTCACATATTCCTGAGCAACAGAGAGATGATCAGTGAGTAAAGAATTGTTCTATACTATTGTTGGCTCAACTATGCATTGAAGAAACCCTCAGAGAGATAATCAGTGAGTAAAATATTGTTTTAATCTCAAGATGGCTAATGTCTATGTATAACAGACATTCTCCTCACACTCCTGAGCAACAGAGACTCCATGAGAGAGAGGAGGAGCGTAGGGGTCGTCAAATGACTTCCCCCAGTGAGCGCCGTGAGAGGCAGAGAGTAAATCTCTCAGTTAGACAGCCTGAATTTGCTGTGGATCCTCAACCTGGACCACAAGGGCCTGAGCTTGCCCATGCACATGAGCCCCAACTGGGCCATGCTATCCAGCTCAGAGAGGATATGCCTTTAAGAGACAATCAAGGCTATCCATACCCTGCTGGGATATATAATGCTGGACAACCTGGGATGTACAATACTGGGTATAACCCTGGGATGTACAATGCAGGCTATATGCCTCAGAATCTACCACTTGGGTACCAAGCTCCTATGAATTATAATCCTGTACATGCAGGTCCTTCACACCATGAGTATATGCAAGCAAATATGGCTGGGCCCTCAAATTATGGCCATGCACAGGGCAATGTAGCAGGTCCCTCTAACTTGAACATGGGTGTGGCATATGGTCAGAGATTGCCTCCTAGGAGAAATTACCTGCAAGAGGCTGAGTCAAATACAAACAGAAGCCATGCCCAAAGAGTGGCTGATAGACAGAATACAAGGCAATCTGCCAGGGAAGCATCTGTACACAGAGAACCCCATGTGGGATTGGCCAGTCCATAGACAGGCACAGCAGCTACAGGAAGCTGCAGCTCATGAAGAGCTACAGAGACAAAGACAGTCTGAGAGACAAGCCCAGTATGAACAACAGGTTTTTGCCCATCATGAGCTTGAGAGACAAAGAGAGCTTGAGAGACAAAATGCCTACCAACAGGAGGTTGCTGCTCATCATGAGCAAGAGAGGTTGAGACAGCTTGAGAGACAAGCTCAGTATGAACAACAGGCTGCTGCCTATGCTGAACAACAGAGACTGAGACAGGTTGAAATGCAGGCTCAGTCTCAACACAACTTCAGAGCTCATGATGAGCTTCAGTTGCAGAGACAAATTGAGCATGAGGAAGGTGAATTGGAATATGCTGAACAGCAGCAGCATGAAGCCCATGGCTATCAACAACAAGTAGATCATCAACTTGAGGTTGCTCAGCATGAAGTGGATGAACTTCAAGCTCTACAGCAGCTTCCCAAGGGAAGAAGGCCTTACTCAGAGCCTGTTGTGAAACATAGCATTGGGGCCATGAATATTGAATGTCCAAGCTGCAAAGCCCTACACTTCAAAGGAGAGAAATTGACCCATTCCTCTCTAATTCATCCTAAATTTGGCATATGCTGTCTGCAGGGTCAGGTACAGCTTGACCCACCTTCCATACCTCCATTGCCCTTGCAGAGGTTGTTCAATGGTGTAGATAATCGCTCAGCTCACTTCCTGAAAAACATAAGACGTTATAATGCTGCATTTGCATTTACCTCAGTGGCAGTTAATATTGATCAAGCTGTTCTGATGGGATCTGGGCCATACTCTTTCAGAATACATGGGGATCTATACCATCTCATGGGTAGTCTCATGCCTCAGGATGGTGTTTCTCCCAGATATGCACAGCTGTATATCCATGACCCTGCTGAAGCATTGAGTTCAAGGCTTGCAAACAATCCTGAGAATAATAATAGGGATCAGGCTGTCATGGCCTCTGTCATGTCAGATATTCAGGATGCTCTCATGCAAGTCAACCCCCTCATTCCTCTTTATAAGCAAGCATATCAGATCATAAGAGAGAAGCCAGCCAATGAGCAAGTGCATGTTGAGGCCCACATTATCTTAGAGGCTTCTGCAGATAAAAGGAGATAGAGTTGACCATGACCAAAGACTGCTGTACGCAGATCAAGTCCAACATTGACCACTGACTGCCCTTGAGCCTTATTGATAGTCATAGCAAAAGCAAGATGAACAGGGAATTGTCTTCTGCTCAATGGGATTGGCAAATCCTCAGCTGATGGTTCAATGCTAATTCTGGGAATGTAGACTTCCTTGCCACTATGAATGCCACCCAAAATTCGACATTTTAGGACCCTTTGCTTGATGTCCATGAGAATCATTCTTGTCCCATTGCATAGTCCATTTCTGGGATCAAGATTTCTCAAGAGCATGAGAGGACACCCTTTCTTTAGCTCAAGCTTAGACAATGGAAGGCCTGACACATTGATAGAGTTGAGATATTCAATAGGATAATGGATGTTCTCATCTCCAATGACTTTGTCTGCAGATGCCAATGTGACTTTCTCCCCTGGGAACTTATCCAAAACAACAGAGTTGATATGATCAACAGCATCATTTTTGGAAGAGAGGATAGTTCTCTGCAGGAAATACTCATCAGGCTTCTCACCCTCACTGAGACCTGGGTATAGAACATTTATCAAGCCATCCAAAGTGTTGGACTGGAGCTTCATGTTCTGAGGCAATTGGATTGTCTTTTGTGGAGACACATTAGGGTAGTTCAGAGTAGCCGCAATGAAAGTGAAAACAAAAACGAAAGCGGAAGTGCTCGTCACGTGTCGAGTCTCGCGCGGTGACCGTGACCGGACGCGTCTCGGTGCCACATACTGCTCGCTGTCTCGCATTCTGTGCTGTATCCTCCGTTCTTGTCGCGTTCTTGTCGCATTTCTCATCTCATGCCAGCGAAGCGTGCGCGCGGGCTATCCGACATCCCTGCGGACGGCGCGGGAAAGAAGCCGCGCAATGGTGATGCTGCCGAGAACAGGGATGGCGCGTCATGGGGTACCAACAAGAACCCCAATCCGCTGTGTTGGAGGCTGATTGAGCAGCTCGAGAGGAAGGAAAATAGGAAGGTGCTGATTGGCCGCAAAAAAGGCGAGGTATGTCACCATAATTCTGTTTTTGTGTGCTTCCATTCATGCCTGCTGTCAGAAATCGACAGGTGACACGAAGGTCGCCGTGTCGAATGCGATAGCACGCGTTCTTTGGCCAAATCAGGCCGAGAAGGACATCCCGGAGTGGGGGAAGAAGGTTCTCAACAAAATCAATGCGTATGTCACGCTTTCTGTGGCGATCTTATGCCGACTTTGCTGATATGGTTGTATTGGGCCAGGCTGAAGGGGCTGTATGCGAAGAAGGTAAAAGCGATCAAAGTGACGGGTGGCGGGCTCTCGGATAATGAGTCTGGTGATGGGCATGGTGACTCTGATGATGAGGACAGCCCTGAACAACGCCTGCGCTGCTACATCGCGGCAGATGGCCCTGACGAGAGTACCCCCGAGAAGTACAAGAACATCTGGGGTAAGTTTCTATTGTTCTGTACCTATGTTCTGAAGCTATGCTAATGTAATCATTAGAGCGCGTTGAGAAGGAATTTCCGCCATTTCCACGCCTGCACCGCTTGCTTGCGTCGAAAGCGAGCATCAACCCTCCTTCGGTTACGACTGGCATCGGGCCACATGGGCGTAAGACCGCATATTATCAGCCTAAGGATGATGATGCTGAGCATGCGGTACCAGGTGCTGTGTCTGACGAACTCATTGACCCTGTGTTGCGGAACTTACGCTCGTCACCAGATGCAGAGGCGGCGGGTGCAAACGATGGACCGTTCATGCTCGAGGGGCCTGATGCAGAACAACCTGGCCCTCTCGATCAAGAGCCAGCAGCACCTTCTCCCCCAGCAGCAGCCCCGCCTTTGCCGCCTGCATCTGGTGCTCCGACAGCATCCTCGTCAGTGCCCACGAACATTCCGAGTCATGTTAGTCCCGAGAAGTACCAAGATATTGCGAAGAACTTCAAGGCAGCGCCCAAGTCTAGCGGTGGAGTCGGAGATGTGCTCCGTGAGGTCACCCAGTACGTATTTGGATTTTGCTCAATATTCTGCGCTGACTTGCTGTATGAAGCTTGCATACAGAGGACGCGAAGTTGGAGCGATCGCAACGGGCTGCTGACGCTGCAGCCCAACGTGACCGAGAGGAGATCAAGGATTTGCGTGAGGAGATCCGAAGCCTCCGTGCAGAGGCAACTGCGAAGCACGATCGACTCCTCAGGCAGTATACCAACGGTGTGCTTGCTAAGGAGCTCTATCTGCATGAGTCAGATTGGGTTGATAAAGACTTGGATGCAGAGATTGCTGATCTTAAAGAGGAGATCAAAGAGATCAAGGAAAAGCGTAGCTAGAATGATTTCTTCCTCTACTAGTTGATTAATCCCTTCTCCTTCGCTGCCACAATTTCTGCAATTAGTCCCCTTCGCCTCGCCTCGTCATCACCATCATCCTCATCTTCCAATGGCTCGTCATGCTCCCCACGGTCATCCTCCTCGTTCTCTCGAGTGTGCAATGGTATGAACTCTGCCCCTCCTACCCATCCATCAATGTCCAGCACAGCATTGTGAAGGATAACACAGCATGATACCCAACGACATGCCCGGTAGTGGTCCTGCTTCCGATTGATGCGGATGCGTAGCCCGCGCAGCGATTGCCACCGGCCCTTGAGTGCCCCCATGCAATGTTCAGAGTGAACATGCAGAGAAGCAACAAAGCGGTCAAACAGGGCATTGTCGGGTTCAAGCGATGCGGGCTTCTTGTGGACTGATATGGTGCGCTTGTTTACTGTATATGCAGAGTCACCCCAGGCAAACTCGCGTCCTTTGAACATCCAGTCAGGATACTTGGCTGCGGCGGTATGGTCGAATGCCACAGAGTCATGGGCTGCACCCGTACACCCGCAAGCGTAATCGACAATGCGGAGATTAGATGGAGCATTCCCTATCTGTAGCCCAAGTTAGTCAATGTTTGGGTGGAAGATCTGACAGCAAACCTGTGCATTCAGACCATAGTTGCACTTGCGTGTGTAACATATTATGCATCACCGTCAAGGCCGGGACGGGCATACAGAACGATGATCGTGCCATCGTACATGATCCACCCATCCCGCCACGATGACCCAGTGAACCCCAGATGCTTCTCAATCCATGCCTTTTCCACCTCCTTCTCTTCATCAGTCAGCTGGCGAACAAACATCTCATGCAGAGACATGATCGCCTCCTGGCAGCGATCCGTATAAAGCTCGACTGCGCCCTCCGAGCAGCCTGCCATCCTCGCTACATCCTGAACGGAGGCACCATTGCCATAGTGCCCCATCCTGTACAGTGTGACCGCTAACTGTGTGCGCACCGGTGTCTGCTCGTTGTTGGATTCATTATGGAAGACGGCATGATCTTCGATGAGGCGGAGGATGGTCTCAAAGACATTTGGGGAAACACGTAGCATGTCGACAAAGCGGTGGTGATGAGCTGGCCCAGGTCCTTGGCATACTCCCATGCAAGGTGTATGTTTCCTGCCTTGGGGACGGGCGGTCGGGGGTTGAGATAACGTGTTGTCATGATGGTGTGGAGAGTAGCGCAATCGTGCTCGAGTTCACGGAGGAGATTCTGGCTCGAGTCAGGGGGTAACATGGATATCTTCACAGCCATAGTGGCCATGTAGGCTTCAATAACCTCATTGTGGAGGTTTTGTGGAGGCATAGGAGCTGGTATCACTCGCAGTTGGGACAGCAGATGGTAGATACAGAGGTACCCTGCAGGTACAGGCAATGCGGCGGTGCGATGCTGATCTGATTACATAATGTCACACTTACCGTGTTTGGACGTTCTCGTGACCAGCACTTCCGTTTTCACTTCCATTTTCATTTTCGTTGTGGCTACTCTGAACTACCCTATTGCTTCCAGCACCAACTTTCAGAAGCCACTTTGCAAAGTCTTGGCTGGCAGGACTGTTCTCTAATCTCATGTTCTGTGTCAAGTGAAGCACCTGCATATGTCTCCACAAATGTGACCTGCGCAGGGAAGCAGCCACAATATGAGGTCTGGAGCCTTTGAAGACAACAGGAAGAGTCTGACGAAAATCTCCACCAAACTACAGTGATGCCTGCAAATGGTACATCCTTGTCCAAGATCTCACGCAAGCTTCTATCCACTGACTCAAATGCATGTCTATGCTGCATAGGGACCTCATCCCAGATTATCACTCCAGTTTGGTGAAGAACTCCATGTAGCTCACTGTCTCTCTTAATGCGGCATGTTGAAGTCTCATGAATAGGGATGGGAATCTTAAAGCATGAGTGTGCTGTTCTCCCACCTTCAAGCAGTAGAGCAGCCACTCCAGAAGATGCCACACAAAGTGCAACTTTTCCCTGAGATCTCACAGTAGCAGCAATAGTATTGCAGACATAGGTCTTGCCACAGCCACCTGCACTGTGAAGGAAAAACATCTTTCCCTCATTCAAGTTCACAGAGCTTATGACAGCATCATATGCAGCAGATTGCTCAACATTGAAATGGCCAACATTAGCCTCAGCTTGCTCCATGAGTGCCTCATAGTCATAGTCAAGCTCATGTTGCAAAAGAGGATTCTCAGCAATAGCTCCCCAAGGATGCTCAGGCATAGGCATGGGAGGAAAATCAGTTAGCTGTTTCCCAGACTTGAGAAGAATCTGATTGAGCAGATATAGCCCATAATCCCACACTTGATCCTCAGTAGGCTCAGCATAGCCAATTGCTATCAGCTTATGGCTCAGATCATCACATATCCCAGCTCTGAACTCATGCCATAGATCCTCAGGCTTGAGTGGATGAGAAAACAACAGAATGATTGCAAATAGACTTCTCAATGAAGAACCTGTCCTGAGCTGTGTAGCTTCTCTTAGGCATTGTCTCCATTCACCATCATCTTCCAAGAGACCTCTTGCAAGGCATGCATCCTTAAAAGTGGGATAATGGGCACCATCAAATGAGTAGAGATCATTCCAGTTTGTAGCACCTTTGACCACAGTCAAGAGAAGACGAAGATAAAATCTCTCATTGGCTGATGGATGGACAAAGTGCATTCTCCCAATGGCAAAGCCTCTCTGCCTCACTTTCCACTTCTTATTTCTCTGATCCCAAACAAATCTCTCAGGGAAGTTCTGATAGAGATGGTTCTTAGCATCCTCCAGCTCAGCATTGGCCTTGAACCACTCAGTGAGCTGGGTCTTGGATGATCTCTCTTCACCAACCACATCCTCAACCTGAGCATCTGACTCAAAGTATACAACCTGTTCATTTTTGAGATGAACAGGTAGCCTATAGACTGTAGGCTTTTCCTCATGCATGGGAAACTCAAAGATGTGCCAGGCAGCCTCAACAGGACCAATGTATCTGGCATCCACATAATCCTTAATCTCATCCACTTGGCCAACTTGCAAAGTTGTCCTGTCATTGCCTGTAAAGAAAATTAGAAAGAATGTATATGATGTATATGGATATACCCTCACCTTTGTAGATGTACTTGTGAATATATTTGACAGCTTTCACTGAAGCACAGACCTCCACATTGATGTGACAGTCAAACTCAGCCAACAGATGAGGGTTGTACGGAACCACATCCTGATTTGTGAACACTTGGCCCCTAGAGTTTGTGAAACTCCTCCCATTATCAGGCCTGGCATAGACAGGATACCCATCATCACCAAAGATGGTGTCCTCACAAAAGCTCCTGGGAAATCTCTTAGAGCATGTATTGTTGTCAGACATGCAAGGTGCATTGGGATATCCAGCACCACATGGGCCATGTAGCATGCACTTGGTCACAGTTGCATACAACTGAGGATGTTCAACTTGTTGAACAAGGAGTGGTGTGGCGTAGCTGAAGGCAAGACTACAAAGGAGCAAACAAAGGACTGTAAGGATGGAGGACTTACAACAGATCTCAAAGCTACTGAGGGGAAGGCTCAGGAGGCGTAGAATGAGAGGAGAGATCGTTACATTACAGGGGCATCCAGCCCAGTATATATACACATGAGAGAGCCATCACATGATCGTACAGTAAGTGTAGTAGCATGACATCGTAATGGTGCAATGAGCAATGATGCGATGATTGCACCATGGATAGAACGTACTGGAAAGGACTGGACAGGACCGGAAGGGAATCTGGACAGTCCTAGAACATGATATCATCGTGATGTCATAGTGATGTCATCAAGGAACGTGCTGGAACATCCTGGAAAGTACTGGAAGGTAGTGGAATGTTCCGTACAAGTCTAGAACAGATCATGTGCTACAGGTCTGGATCAAGTCCGTAAGAAATGTATGTAATATGTAGCAACGAAGAACATAAGTCCATAACGGGTAAAGGATAAGACCTATCCCGTAGTGTAACACCCAAAATAGTCGAAGTTCAACACAACTGGGTCAGGTAGCTGAGCACAGACAATGCTGTCTACTTGAGAGGCATCATGGATCTTATGTTCTTCCTTGAAGAATATGAGAAGATGCATGTGAGGAAGACCTCTCTTCTGAAACTCAATTGTGTATACATCAGCAGCTAAGTTGCCAAAAAATCCATCTTTGATTTTTTTGAGCAGAGCTTGTTTCTTCAACTGAAAGACCCTTGCTACAATGTCTGGACGATCAGCTGCAGTCTGATGCTTAGCAGGATCATTCTCAGCAGAATTGATTTCCAAAAGTGCTTCCTGAATCTCAGGCCAATTTGGATTGGCAGTCATAGTTAGGAACAGATCTGGCTTCTTATTCCTCCTACATATGGCCATTGAATCCTGAAACAGTTGGTACATATGCCTTGAACTCCCAGCATGAGAGGATGGCAGTATGAGTCTCTGTCCTTGTTGACCCATATTCACTTGTTCATTTTGTTGATCAGCCTGATTCATTGCATCCAACAGCCCTTGGTATAGCTCAGCTCTTATGGTTTTCTGATTGTGCCTAATCCAGTTCAAATTAGATGCCTCAATTGAAGCCCATGCATCCACCAAGTACTGTTGAAACAGACGACCTCCTCTGAACAGATAATCAAACTCATTGTTCTGAAGCAGCCTGGGATGAATCCTATATGCAAAGTAGCATCTCTGAGAGACATTGGCACTTCTCACTCTGTTATCTGGCCCTGGTATAGATGGTATGTTCATGTGCCATCCTTGATCCCCTCTTGGGAATAACATGACATAGTGGAGTGGGAGGTATAGAGGATGCAAGTTGCTCACTCTCTTCAGTCCTCCACCTTGTAAATGCAGGACAATATCTCTGTGTTTGTCAATATCCTCATCTCCAGAGCCAGGTATAACTGCAGCTACTTAGACACAGCCATGTGTGCTCTGATATATATTCACAATCACAACACAGTGGTTCTTCTATTTTCCCCAGCAACTGCCTTATGTAACACCCCGACCTAGTGCATAGTGTGGGTGTACCCATGGGTGTCTCAGAGCATACCCATACCCATACCCACATGGGTTGTATAAACATGCCATGGGTATGGGTTTTGCACGGGTATTATGGGTACCCATGGGTATGGGTAATGTTATGGGTAGTCCTATGTGCAGTTCATGCTTAATGGCTTGCAAGATATGATGACACTTATTGTGCAGAGGCCAGACTATCAGTCAGGCACTGTACAGTTGGTGAATTCTCATCATAAATTGATGCTATGTGCAAGACCAAGGATGAGCACCCCTCAGACCAGTTCACTGACTGTGTGGTCAATCACAACAGTGGGAGCTTCCAGTTTTTGTCCCACATACATGCAAGAACAATAGAAAGAGGAGTGGGTATGGGAGGGGTCAAAGCAAGGTTCCAAGTGTATCAAAGTCAAACATAGCAACACACAGGGGTGTACCCTTTTCCAAGTTGTAGACTTGTAGTGTTGTTGGCATGTCATGCTCACTTTTCAAACTGCAATAGAATGGGCAAGTGTGTTGCCTGAAGTAATAACTGAATGGTAGGTAATACAGGATATGCAAAGATGAAGGGGAAAACAATGTAAACAAGGCACAAGGATCACGGAAGCAAGGTATGTATTACAACTCATAACTCTGGTGGTTATACAAGTGTGCCATAACAGTACAAATAGCTATGCAGGTCCACAAGAACTGAGGATTGAAACTAGCAAGGTTGTATACATCAATAGATCTTACATATTTTACCAGATATGAACAGTGAGGCAATGGGCAGAGCCTTATAACATGTGCTGTTTACATATAGCAGTATCACAGGTCAACAGTCAGCAGATGAATATACCTCAGACTCAACAACTACAAAACTGAATCACAGGAAAGATGTAGCAGCAATCATGCTGATTTCTTTTCCATCAGGATCCCTTGTCACAGGTGACTAACTAAGCATTACACAGTATTACCAGCTGTCTAATAAGGACAGCTTTAAAGTAAGTAGGATTCAGTATGGTCACATTGTTTGGTAGAGCATTCCAGCTACACCATACTGACAAACACATGGCACTGCAGTAGCCATCATTGTGCATTGAAAAGGTTAGTTGAGCTTTCTCCTAATTCTTCATTTGAGCCACAACAGCACATACACTGCAATGCACATTAGATATTTCATTTACTTATTTGATGGCCTCAGCAATCTGTGTATTTTATTATAGCATATCAATATTGGCAAAAGCCATGTCATGCATGGTCAATGAGTCTTGAGGGAAATGATTGGTGACTTTACCATACTGCCACTATTGCAAAATACTTTCAAGCAAGCTTCAGAAAGGTGATACCCTAAATGCTAGCATACTATGAGAGTGACACAACACTGAATACCTGGCTAGGAATTAACATTGACTACTGCCAGTGGATAAGCACTGCAGAAGTCCATGGGTTTCATGGGTACATGGGTCAGATTTTGGCTACCCATACCCATACCCATGCATACCCATACCCATGACCCACATGGGTTATCCATACCCATGCAATGCACTACCCCGACCCAATGAGTGTAGGAATGTATACTGTTCTTGTTGTCCTTAATACAGACAGAGAGCAGACAAACACAATGGTTGAAAAAATTACAAATGCCTATAGGTATGGAAAGATGAAAATTGGGACACATGAACACTGATGTGACCCATATAGTGTTGGGATTCATGGAAAGAAGCATCAGCAACTGTTAATGTCACAATAACATTTCAAGAGTGGGACACAGTACATATATAATGCATGTATGCTGATTAATGATTCTCCATATGCCAGTTGGTTGAACTGATGCATTCATCCATTCTGAATATTCTGTCATTTCTACAGTATCTACTGGGCCCACAAGGCATTGCCCAGTGTGTGATTGCCAATTGGGAGGGCACCTGCCATATGTAGTAATAATGATTATGTGATAGCTCCTGCTTCACAGACCCACCCATAATATCCCTAGCCTGCATAGTTCCTTATGCTATGCATGGAACAAATCATAAAAATGTACAGGATATTCATTCTACGCCACATAACCTCCTTGTATAGGCTCAGAAAAACTCCAAACACCCCGGAAAATCAGTGAAGTATTGATGAATCACATATGAGTGGTCATTGTGCTCACCCAAAGCTCTGGCAGCACTTACCATACTTTGATATGGGACTACAGCTAACTCATGTGAAGGGGTGCAAGATATATGCAGACTGCCTACTGCTATGCAAGAAAAAACAGTGACATTGATGATAAAATTCTTGTTTACAGGTTCTTGCTCTCCATTGAATATTCATAGCTTCTGTGACAGATTCCTCAGGTCATGAATTAGAGAATTTTGGCAGTAACATAGCTTTGATAATCTGTGGATTCCCTGGACTCCTTAGTGTAAATTCTGAGGCACCTTTTGAACAGTAGGTGGCCACCTAATGCATTTAGCAGATTGCTGTTAGTGACTTGTTACATATATCTGAATTGACAATAACATGGAGTGATTTCAGGATAAGGGATGAGGAGAGGAATGCAAATGATCATTCCAGTATACTGCATTGAGAACATGTGACTTACTATCTTTCCATAGCATGAGCCACAATTCATGAAGAGGTATCATGAGTGTACCAAAATCAGCATGGTTGACATGAACAGACTCTGACATTGGGAGGTCTAGGCCAATGTAGTATCAATATGTAGGGAAGTATGACTCACTCAGTTCAAATGATACAATTGTTTGTGATCATTGTCATTATAGTTACTAGCAGTCCCTAGACAGATTCAATGATACAACAATCTCCCACTAGTAAAGTAGTACTATTGTTCAGTGTTTTGAGACAGTGCACAGCACAGGTGAAGTTGGGCAAGAACAAGTCTGCAACCACACATATCGTTGGATAATGGCTGTATAGCAATACCAGCATAGCTATCAATGATCAGTCAAACTTTCTGATGAAGAAATAAGCACATTTGGGATTCAATGCTCTGTGTCTTGTGGTACTGCAAATGAGGAATGAGCTGAGCAACAATAATGTAAGCACCTCTGTTACTACTATAATACTCTTTAATGATTTCAATTTGGCTTGCATAAGGTTATTGTGATTGTCACAGTTTGACAATTACTTTATAAAGCATAGAAGTTAGTCTCACAGACTAGTATATATCAATGCATTTGATAAGCAAGATTCAAGCAATGATTTTACAAGCCAGAAGACAAAAGACACAGACAATACAACTGGGATTGTATTGCCATGCATGGCCCACTCCCCGGCAAGCTGCTGTGATGCAGTTGATTGTTGCACTCAATGAGTGGTCCTCCACAGGCCAGTGCCATCCCCCCCCACTGGCATCTGCAGCACACTCACACAGAAGGGCAATATCTCCCCCCACAACACCACCTTAGTGTCCTTGAGGTTTGTGCTATGAGCAGAGGTATCATATGAGCAGGAATCCCAGTCATCACATGACAAGAAGCCAAGACCCACCTGAATGGCATGCCAATGTACAAAACAAGCTCATTTGCAACCTCACACACAAGCCTCTTGTCCATATCCCTTCCCTGCTCCTTCTTCATCACTTTCCACTGGCACATCCCTTGGAACTGGAAGGGCTTTTTATGCACCTTCCACTGCCTAATATGGGTCATCAGCTCCTTGAGGAGTGCCTCAGACATCTGGTACTTGGGTTGGTATTGCCACCCTCGGAAGAGGTCATGCCGCTCTGGCTGCAAGGTGTGGTGCAGCAGAAGAGGTCAAGCCGCTCTGGCTGCCAGGTGCAGGGCAGCGGAGGAGGGCAACACTGGGGATGTGGGGACTTATTGTTGCTGTTGCTGCAGCAATTGTTGCAAGACACTGGTGCTCAGACCCTCTGCGGTGCCCTGGCCATGCAAGGTGCACTGCTTCTTTGCAGGGGGCAGACCATCCTCACACAGTTTACCCTTACCTCTGGCACTGGAAGCCACCCTACCCACCTTTGCACCTTTATACTTCGCAGTCTGTGTGTGGCTGGTACCGGATGTCGATGGTGGATCAATCAGCTCCTCCTCCAACCACTTCTCCTCCTCACACTCATCTGGGTCCAGTCCACCCAGTTTATCCTGAAGAGCCATCCACCTGTTGTGCTTGACCATCACTGTTTCACTGGACAAGCCTTTTCGTGTTTGCCCCTTGTTACGATCCCTGAGGTACGAAGGTATCGTTCTTATGATGGACCACCATGAAACGCCTTAGCGATTCCTCCGGAATGGCAGTTTGTTCCCACAGTGCACGTGACTTGCAGCCACCCCGATAAGCAGAGATAAGTAACTGTTAGTATGGGTTGCTTATCTGAGTCTGAAATTTCAGACTCCCAGACGACGCGACTTGGACCAACAGATACAAACAAATGCAGTGGCTAAGCGCTCAGTTATGGATATGAGGCCCATTGAAACGCCTTAGCAGTTCCCCCAATAAGGAAACTGGTAAACATATCATGTGACTGGCAGCTTGGTGGGCCATTGCTCCAAGTGCTCACACACTGTAGGGCCTATATAGCCTCAGCCAGTAACAAATCATAGTATACATAGTATGCTCATCTGATAGCCCTTCATTCAGAGAGTATACAGAAATTCTATTGAGTGTATACAATGGCTGGCTAACCCAGGAAATGCAAAGCAAAAAAATGCACATGTGCCTCTGCAGATTCAATCTGCTTGTTTATGACTCAAATATGGTCTATATGTACACTGCAATGTATATGTGTAGTTCAGACACTGTGGACTACTCAGTAATACAGGTAACAAGGACTATAATGGGTAATCTGAGCATCTTTTGCCATCTTATGGCCCTTGCATACAATGTAATGGTAACCATTGCAGCTCAAGGCAATCATACACTTGTCTTTGATGTGTCTGTATATTTCATAGATTTTCTGCATTTCTCTGAGCCCTACATGCCCCTGTTTGTGTATGATTCCTCTTTGGGAAGGTCACATACTCCATATGGTAATTATGCATCCACTGCTGGCTTTGTCTTGCTCACAGACACAATCTAGGGATACATACCTGAATGTGTACTTACACTATGATCTTATAGGGTTGTCCAGTACATGAGCAGTTCCAAGAGTGAAGTAGCAGGCTTATATAAGCTCACTGGGGCCACAGCAACCATCTTACCAGGTAATTGAGAATGCTATCTGATCTGATGTCAAACCCATGCAATATACAGCTTCATTCACATTGCCTGGATCATTTTGAATATTGTCTCAATTTTCCGCTTTTTTCTGAGTCTAAACAAGCTCTCTTAAGCACAGTAACAGTCCGCACTTACATCGCTTGCTAAGCGCCCATCAAGCGCCCAGATGCCGTTTGGAGGTGCAACCGTGCGGAAATTTGGCACGGTTGCACCTCCGAACGGCACGAGAGGGATGCCGAGCTGCTCTGATTGGTGCAACAAGCCCCTTTTCTGCCCTAATCAGGCAGGATGCCGAGGCTTTGAGCTGAGTTTGGATCTCAGCCACAGGCTCCTTAGTGGCACTGTACCTGCTGTACTGTGGCCTCACTAAAATGCGGAAAATTCCCAAAATAATCTCTGTGATAGGTATGATGTCATAGAGTCTATAGCTGCTGTGACTTGCCCATTACCTTCACTGGTCATGGCACAATTCACAAAACAAAAAAACATGCAAATGCCTCTGTGCACATGAGTGCATCCCTTTTCACCTCAAAAGTCTCTCTTTTGAAGCCTATATGCTGCCCACAGATTCTCTGACATCTCAAACCTGCTAAATAGGGTAGCTGACCTTCCTAAAATGGTAATTTTGCTTAACCTGCTCAGTCTGGGCTCAGAAAATGCAGATCAAATCAGGGAATATTATGTGTAATCAGACTCATCTGTATTGCCTTGTATATGAAGGCAATTCATCTTGTATGGAGGCCCCCACAATATATGACTAGTATGACTTGCCCAGTTGTTTGAAATTCAGGAAACAGAGAAACACATGCATGAATGTGTGGCATTTGACTGGGATACACTGATTGAAACTCATCAACTCTTATAGAGTTTATAGAGATGATAAACTCATTTGATAGCCCATCATTCAAAGGGTTAATCATACATTGGAGGAATGAAGAACAATGGACAACATTTAGAGAATCACAAGTGACTGTGCAGATATGAATGGCTTGTTGTCTCTGAAACACATTGCCTATGACCTGTATAGATATGTGCATAGTTTACAATGCATGGATGTGTCTGGAAGTTGCACAGCACAGCTATTGGTGGGGAAAAATGGTAATAACATGCATGTTTTGATGTCTCAGCACTGAATGACCATATAGGGAATCTTCTCCACTTGTAAATATGCTCAGGGATGCTCCACATATATCCTGGAATATTGTCTGATTAATCCGCATTTTCTTGACCCCAAAACAAGTGAATTGTGCTGCAGTAACAGTGTGCACTTACATCGCTTACTAAGCGCTCGACTAAGCGCCCGTTGCCGAAGCGGAGTCGTCAACAGGCCGGAATTCAGGCCTGTTGACGACTCCGGTCACTCAAAGGGATTTTGGAGCACTCCCATTGGCTAAAATGCTGACAAATGTTCCCTTTCAAAGTAATCTTTCAGTCTCAGCTTGTCATGCCGAGTTTTTTGATGGCTTCAAGCCACACTAACTGAGCTCTTACTAGAACCCCATTAAATGCAGAGAAATCCCAAAATATTGCTTCTCCATGGAATGCCCCTTGAGTACTGACACAGTGACAAGGGTGCCCAGATTAGGTGTTCTTGTTGTTTTTCACAGAGTACTGACCTTGGCAAGTGATACTGAGGATATAAGCAAATGTTAGTGTGTGTATGATGCTTGTACAAGACAGTTCCACATGTATGGGCTCTGTGAGGTGGAGGATATCAAACATACAAAACTGCCATATATGGTTAGTCCCCTGCCCATTTGGGAAGTTGGCCGTGCATGGCCTCTGCAGGACTGGATAAATAGCAGGAAAATAAGAGAAAAATTAGATAGTACTATGGATTTGTATTGGGTTGACTGTTGAGGCCATATGGCAGAAAACATATAATAATGCAGAGTTTCCCATGCATAGCCTGATACAAGCCACTCTTTCAATGAGTCTTGGTCCATCTTGTAAGCACCATTATCACCTGGAATTCTCAGGGACTGGCAGCTCAGACAGGATCCTAGGCTATTCTGTTCAGTTCAACTCTTCAATAGGCCCTGCAAAGGCAGGCTATTGGGCTGAGTTTGAATGCAAGCCACAAGCTCATCAGTGACACTGTATTTACTGTGCTATGGTCTCCCAAAAAATCAAAAACAATTGGGAATATTCCCAGTCATGTATATGATGTCAGAGAGGCTGTACATAGTATGCCTTCCCATGGATTATATAAACATGGCTCCCACCATTCACAAAGCAAAATAAAATACATATTCCTCTGTACACACTGGTTCTTTCACTTTGTTTGTGTTTCCTGTGATGCTTGCCAACTGCCTATGGATTGTGTGGCTATATGAGACCTGAATGAAACCTGCCATATGTGGTACCTGACCTTCTCAAAATGGAAAGTCCGAGTTATCTGCTGTGTCTGGGCTCAGAAAATGCGGATAAAACAAGGGAATATTCTGTATGATTCCACTCACCTTGTACTGCTTGCTATAAGTATTGATTGGCTCATGTCTAAACCCTTTGGCAGGCAATGGCATATGCAGAAAATGGTGAACACCTGTGGCACAAAGGCCACAGTTAATGCTGAGTATGTTCATAATATTGGCTCTGTCTCACATGTGAATGGCATAGCTATCAATATTATGGGTTCACAGAGCTTTATGACACTGTACTGATCCTAGAAAGTGATAGAAAGACATTGTACAAGTTGTGTTGTGCATCTACTACTGTTGCTAGAAAGTCTATAGGCTAGCAATGTCATAAAGTAGGGACACCACACATAGGTGATCAAATGCTTTGATGGTCTCTGCAATGCTAGATAAATGGTAGGAAATGAGATAAAATCAGATGATCCCATGACATCATATTGTGCTGACTGTTGTAGGCCAATGCATGACAGTACATCTCAGATGTGCTAATGCAGAGTTCACAGCCTGATGTCTGCAGCTCTATTGTCCCAGTCCAGTATAAGCATGTCTTTGACTGATTGTATCAATATGAAGCAGTGCCAATTATACAGTATGATGGTGCTATGCTTGTTGTTAATTGCTCATATAATTTTGCCTGGAGCATATCTAATGTCTGTATGCACTACCATCATCCTATTCTCATGCAATGGCCCTTGGTATGTGAAGATAGAATAGGCAGCCTTGGCTTGTTCATATGGGCAAAAATGTATTGACAGTGGTGTCTGTTTGTGCAGTGTATGCTGTGATTTCTTCCTGATTGGGCTCAGAAGAAGTCATGGTTGCCATGGAAATAATGCAGACTTGCATTGCTTACTAAGCAACAGTGAAGAGGCCATATTACAATGG